AAACTGCCCAGAGTTAACAAGCTATGCTTACTTCACCTGACAGAAAGTTCAGCTCTACTTAAAGCCATTACACACACAACTAATGGAAGTGTCATCACAGAGAGATGTGCGGCAAAACTCAGAAGAGCGGGTGGATTTTGCTCTATGGGCATACAGGGCTGGGGCCACAGATAGGGACAGGGGTCAGTGACAGACAGATCACTGCCTTCTGAGAGTTGATGAGTGCTAGGTTCAGCCTGGATCACGTGTTGTGGGAGACCTGCTGACCCCAAACCAAAGGTGGACTAAAGGAATAAAGCACAACACATCATCTTGGACTGGGTGCTTTTGGTACTGGGAATGTTTTCCTTCAGTTGTCATTGAAACTGTGGGTGGGTTTGTGTAAGATAATCACATCAGAACATTGATAGGGGCAAATTAATTACTTTAGTCACTTTTCCATTGTAGATCCACAGCCTCACTGCTTTAACAGTGTTTCCAGAATTATGCTGTTTTGTTCTATAGAATGGTCCTGGTCGATTGATATTCACTGTGGCAATGATCAAACTTCTAACTTATATGCCACAAGCAGTCTCCAAACATAGTCATGACCACAGCCACAGTGACAGTCCAAAGAAGCCTGGTAGTCATAGTTTGGTCACCCAAACAACAGGGAGTCTTGAGATGTTACTACACTGATTGTTTTTTGGGTACGAGTGATGGCTTCCCCTGACTGGGATCCACTGCAGTGGGGTGAGGTGGTGTGTACATGTGCTGGATGCACAGAGTGATCTGGCTCCAGGTCCTGACAATTAACTGACACTCACCTGCCTTGATAACACACAGTGTGGCATAAACTATTAGTAAAGAGGGGGCCTGGTGATTAGTGATGGGATGTGGTTGCAAAGTCTCCTTCTTTCTCCTCCTTTTCCTCCTCCTCCTCCCCAGCACCAGCGGGGGGGAGGTAGTAACATACTGAGGAGCGTAGGGCCGTGGAGACCCAGAAATATGAAAGTTTCCTTAGCTAGTGCAGTATTGCGAAGTATTCAGTAATGGTTTGTGAGTACTGAGTGACCTCAGTGTCACTTATGGTGACTTATGGAACGAGGGAAATGGACCAGAAGCAGGAGCTCCCTCAGGCTGTTAGAGTAGATGATCTCTTCCAACTGAACTTTGTCCTGTGCTGTTCTCTTGTATTCCATTCTATTTCGTTCCATTCCACTCTTGTTCCACAGTCTCTCAGGTTTTGAAGTAAAGTTTTTGTAAGTCTATATTAACAGCATGGTTTCCTAGTGATCTCTGCATCTGTAATTTGTCATACAACTTACCTTTGCTTCTTTTTGCATAGTATTTTTTTCAAAGCTGTAATTCATAAAATTTAGCAAGGACAAAACAGAAAATTTAGCCGTGGTAGCAGCATTTGTGACATTTCAGGGCCAGTAGATCTCTTTGCTTCCTTTATCCAGGCTAGCTAATCCCACTTACCAGGAGTAATAGGGTGAAGGAATTGTAGCCAGCTGAATGCCATACCTGTATAATCAAATGTAAATGACATGTAGCTTTCTGCCATCCCACAAAGACACAGGCCTTCATTTGGGATTGCTGCCATATGAGAAGCAGCAAGGGCTTGATAGTGCTACAGCTCCCAGACACCATGAATGAAAGAAAAAGCAACACTGTTAATGAATTCTGAATTAAAACAGGGATGAATGTAAGGGAAATGTATGTAACTTAGCACAGTGGCTAGCAGCTGGCACAGAAGGTACATGGGTTAGGCTGAGGCCTAACCAGAGGTCCTGCACTGTGCATCCCCCTGCATGCGTCTCTCCAGCCAGGCTGAGTGCTGGTGATTAACAGCACCAACAGCTGAGGATGGAGTGCCTGAGGCAGAAATTGTCTTTTACCGAAATTGGTGGTGAACCTTGCTGCTGCTCTTCCTGGGCCAAGAAACTGCCTGGTACAGACACAGAACAGCCCATGGGACATGCAATGGTCTGCCACTGGGATGCTCCCTACGATGTCTTTGCGAAGAAGTCTGTGTATAAATAAAAGGACTTTTCACGGAGATTCAGAAGGGAGCTATTTGAGGAGGTGGGGGCTCAAGGGACACTTCTGGAGAGCCAAAGCTCTGTGGTTCACAACACCCCATCACCCTTTGCACAGGGGAGGCAGCCCCAAGGAGTATCTACAGCTTTAGTGCCACTCACTGGATAGCTCGGTGCCAATAGCATTATCCACGGCCTCACTGTACAGTGGTGAGGAGAGCAAAACACATTGATCACCTGCACTACAGCACAGAGCATCACTTCATCTCCATGGGGGAGGGTAAACAGTGTTTAAACTACATTTTATTCTGCAGTATTTTCTGCATCTCTCACCACAGCAGGATCTCTCGTCTGAAGCTGCAGCTGACAAGACACCCACAGGCTCCTAGCATGACACATGGCAAGGGTTGGGGGGTCCCTTAAGCACTCCCACAACCCTTCTTCAGACACCAGAGCGATTCTGAAGCACCACAGCACAGGGCAGGTGATGTCCAACACGGAGTCCCAACACTGAGTCACAGCCATGGGTCTGGCTGATGTGATGGTGCCACAGTGAGACAGCTGCCAATAGCAGGGCCAGACCAGGAATGTGTCCTGTTGTATTGTCTTATTTGATGTTAACAACACGAAATTGTCCTGTGAAATGTTAATGTGACTCGACACAAGGAAAGAAAATTGAAACCCCCTCAATTGCCCGAGGTTTGTATCCCACTTAAATTGATTTTCCCTTCCAAAATGCTATAATGGACATTTTAAACCCTGTTTAAACTGTTGATTTTTCCTTGCTTTGTGAAGTGTAGTCACATTTCCTGGAGAGCTCAAGCTTATCCTTCACCACAGGCAGAGCTGAGACAAGAGTCTGCATGGGGGAGGGCAGACTCTGAGGGGAGGGGGTTGGGGAGGGCCAGGAGATGCACAGGAACCACAGAGCTGCCATGGGTCCCGGCTGGCAGCAGTTGTGCAGGAGACTCCTCACCTCTCTCAGCTCCCTGTTAGCTGGGGAATTATAGTCCCTGCACCTCACTTGCCAGCAGCTCACAGCCCAGGGTTGTCTGCTTTCCAGGGCATCCCTGCAGGTAGTGCTGACCCAGACCTCAGCTATGCATGGCTTTTGGTATGGTTTGTCTGAGCAGATGAGCTCGTAGGTGGATTATCAGACAGGCTGAGCTGCAGTGTCACCTATTCTTCCCTCTTTTTTACAGTCGAATTCACCCAAGCCTTCAGTAACAGGTGAAATTCTCACACAAGCAAGCACTCTCCCTCCTCAGTGGAGACCTTCAGTTCAGCAGCTGAGATCTGGGCTGGAGGTCAGCAGGGTCAGCCTGGACAGATGGGGGCTGGAAGGTGCCAAGTACCACAAGGTGAGTGATCTGGGTTCTTACAGGGCCGAAATAGAGCTCCGGACACCAACATCTAAGTGCTCTGGTCACACTTTTGATGTTTCCCGGAGTTGCTCCCACAAGCAAGCAGCAGGCTGCCCACTGTGCTGCGCTCCTGGCTTGCTTGCTTCACCTCTTCAGGATGCAAATGTACAGAGAAGGGCAGGAGGCTGAGCTGTCCTACAAGCTCCTCCTTGTCCTGTTCCCCGGGGCATGTCCCACACCGGTGCGACCTCAAGCATCCTCTGGTGGCTGGGGCTACACCCTGTGGCTTTCCAGCAAAACCTCAATTCCCCAGTAGATTTTAGGTTCTGAACTCCACTGGTGCTTCTGACAGTGCTTATCCCAAACCACAGGACTTAAACCATTCAAAGCAAGGACATGGAGATGAATTAATTCAGCCTCAATTCATTCTGCCATTGACTACTCTGTGCCCTAAGCAATTTTAACAACCTCTGTGCATCATAGTGCCAATGTTCTATAACATTTTCTGTTTCCTCAGCATGCTTTATGCTGTACAGAAGGGCTTCTAAGGAATACTATGGTTTATAGTGAACTACAAATGTAAGAATTATAGCAGAGTGAGGTCAAAGCGATAGGTATACAGACAAAATAAAATTTTATTATTATTATTTGATCAGCCAGTGGTGTGAATCAGCTGGCAAACGTTTCTGCTTACAAGCCTTATAAGTGAAAGCAGAAGCAGCAAAGCTAAAACTTTGGATGTTTGTGCCTTTTTTTTTTTTTTTTTTTTTCTTTCTTTTTTTTACTGAACCAAAGTTAGCTTTTAACAAAAAGTGTTCTCATGCTTAGTGCAGAAGATGTTAGCATGATACTGAGTTTGGTTATTGTACGTGGTTGTACAAGGCATGGGTGGATCACCTGAGGTCAGTAGTAAAAAGAACATGCCATAAAGCAAACCTCTGCTGAATTCACAATTTTCAGTACTCTGCAGAGTATAGATCTTCACCCCAGCTTCATTTTTTGAAGGTATTTCCTTGGTTTCCCTTTAGATCAGGAATGAGAAACAACTGTATCGGCCGTTCAGTGGGAAATCCCCTCTCCGGAGCTCCTAGGTTTCCTAATTCCAGTGAAAGCTGCGTCTGAGGGGGAGGCTGCTCGGTTTTCCCGTGTCCTTCCAGCAGACCCGTTGTGCGGGAGCAGGAAGACTTCGCTGGGGCAGCAGGAGGAGCCCCGGGTCCGGAGTGCCCCCGGAGCCAGCAGCGGGAGATGGGAGGGAGGGATGCTCCTCGCCTGTCCCTTTGCGCTTAGTGCCTGGAAATCTCCATGCCGAGCGGGGACGGGCTCTCCCCCCGAGAGCTCTGCAGCTCCGCCAGGCAGAGCCGTAGTACTGGCACTGACAGCGCGGGGAGCGAAGCGGGTGGGGTATTCGCGGCTCTGATTTGGACCCTCGTCATGCCCACGTACTGTGTCACTGCGAGAGGAATTCAGTTACCATGGTTTAACCTATCAGTACGGGAACCAAGTGCCTCCCCTCCCAACTGCTCTATAAAAAGAGTCTCTGAAGATGCCCCGGCGGCTCCTGACTGCCGGCTCCGAGCAGCAGGTGCTCAGCGCGCACGGAGGGGTTGCCGCTATGCCGTCTGCCTTCCAGCTGCAGTGCCACCTCGTCCTCATCCTGCTGGCAGCCTCCAAAGGCGACACCCGCTACCTCGAGGTGAGCAACGCGGAGAGCACACCTCGCTGCACTTCTCCACTCTCTGCTAACTTTATCCACAGCCTCGTGCTTTGCTTTCCTCTGTTGCTATTCCCACTGCCCCTGGACAAAAGACTGACATTAACACACACCCCTGCATTTTCATTCATTTACCTGTCCTTTTCTCGACCTTGTGCTTTTGGCTAAGGAACCAAGTCTCAGTGTGTGGGGCTCACCTCTCAGAGGCCGGGTTACTCCTCACTGCAGCAGCTCCCAAATGTTAGCAGCTGTTAGCAGCTGTACCCCTTCTGGAGCAGGGACGTGATCTGTCCACATCTGCTCTGGAGAGCTGCAGGGGGGGGGGCTGCATTTTGTGTTGTCCCATCTTCTTCCCACCATCTCCCCGCAGGTGAGGGATGCTGGTGAAGATGAGCCCTTCCTGCTCCTCAGCGAAGACCTGAAGCGGGAGCTGTCTGCAGGACACATCTACCGGCGGTCTCTGCGTGAGTTATCTCTGATGGTGGGAAGGGAAGGGTGCAGAGGGAGCTTGCAGCTCTTCAGGAGCGATGGGGCCGAGGGGAGAAGGGTAGAGTGTTATAATTTCGGAAAGCTGAGTCAGGGATCTCAGAGCAGGGCTCTGAGCAGGGCTAGGGCCAGGGCTGCGGTCTCATCAATGGGAGGGTATTACACTCACAGCCCCAGGCAGAAATCAGCTCCAGCAGATGGGGTGGGTGGAGAAGCTGCGATGAGTGAGGAATCTGAGGGAAGTCAGGGTCTGCACACCTGTGTGCATGCACAGCAGTAATTTTGCACCCCGATGCGTTGACGTGTCACACCAGTGAGCATCCCCTGGAGCTCAGCAGCTTTTGGGTTCACCCGTGACCCCCTCCTCCCCGCTGCTGGATCTATCCCTGCTGTCCCCATGCCTGACAGCAGGCACTGGCTGTGTGCTGCCTGCAGGCAGAGCAGAGCCCGGCCCTGTCTCTGCAGGCTGCATTGACATGCTGAGCATTGAGGGGCAGTTCACCTTTACTGCCGATCAGCCCCAGTTGCACTGCGCCACATTCTTCATCGGTGAACCTGAGGAGCTCCTCACCATTGAATATGACTTTGTGAATATCGACTGCCAAGGAGGTGACTTCCTGAAGGTAGGGAGCTGCTGTTTGTCTCCATCCCTGCTCTGGATACTGGGTGCTGGCTGTGTATGGTAAGGGTATGTGTATGGGTATGGTAAGGCAGCGCACATGCATGAGTGCCTGTGTGCGCACAGAGCTTTTAAAAAGCATTTGTGACTGACTGAGAAGTTGAATTTGCACAAGCTAAGGCTCTTGACCCACTAGAAGGCTGTTCTCATTGCTTGTGTTATCCCACAAGCCGTGCAAGCACTGATGATGCGCTCTCTGCTGTTATTGAGCCAGGATCTCCATGCTCAGGGCACTGGTTAGTTAGGATGCGGATATTTGCAGGAAGGATTTTCAAATGACCCTGCCAGAGGTTTTCAGAACACTTGTTCTGACTCAGTGGGAGGTTTGTGACAAAGAGCAATTCATACTCGAGAACAGGAAAACTTTGCTGAAGCATTCTTCTAGCAGACAGAAGAGTTGGATGAGATCTGAAGTCAGTTGTGGAGGTGAGGGCGGGCAGGAGAGCATCTGTTTTCTCCTCTGTCACCGTGTTGCACTCTGAACACAGCACTGAGCTCTGTGTGCAGCAGCAGGCTGAGCTGCTGTGGAGCCCTGTCTCTCTGCTCCTTGCTGGGGTTTCCCCAGATGTTGCTGCAGGCTGTCTCAGCCTTCTGTGCGCTCAAGTACCTCAAACTCAGAGTTGTTTTCAAAAGCTGGGCAAACACCAAGTGATCTCCAGGGCTTTGTAATAGTTTCCTTCCTTTGATTATTGTGTCCCCAGTTCAATCATTATGCTGCGGTATTTCTACAGGTAGCTTTTCTCTGATGTAATCTGAGCAGCTGCTTCACAAGACTTCCAAAAATTTTCAGTACCACCAAATTGGGAGACCAAGTCCTGCAGCTCTGCCATCAAAGCATCCCATGCATATTCACAGAATTACTCACCATATCAGTTGCAGGATCTGCTCCTCAGATGCTTGAAATGTTAGAAAGGAGCGCAGATGGAGTTGCTGGGTAGGAGAGGGAAACAAGAGGAAGGTAACTTCATGGCTGTGCTGGAGTTAATAGCTTTCGTTTCTGACACATTTCTCTGCTCATGGGAAGGGCAATCTTTTTGCTATTTTTATTGTGGGGGAAAGATTTGTAGACAGTGCCGATTAATTTCTTGCCAAGTAGGCAGAGTTGGTGCTGCATTCCACTGGCTAGAGTCTACTCAAAGAAAAGACACAGGAGAGTGTGCCAAAAATTCCTCCCCAGAGCTTCATTGTGCTTCTGGGCTGAAATGAATGAGGCCCCTGGGCTCGTTAAAGATAAGCTGAAGATACAGATAGTGGAAAACTACAGGCCAGGTCAGTGGACCTAGCGGTCAAGGCACAAGAAGACAACTTTCTTTGATGTGGCTTTCACATCAGGTTGGCCAGAAGCCAGTTTTAGTAGCAATGGAATTGCTATACTAATGAATCCAGAATCTGATATCAATTTGATGGTGTTAAAGCAAAAAGAACTGTTTCCATCAAAGATACGTCACCAAAACAGTCATTTGAAGGAAATAAAAGCAAAATTAGGATTTATACCTGTTCTATTCCTAAGTATTGACTGAAGCTTGGATTAAATGCTAGGGAGTATATAAACAGAATTTTTGGTTTTATTTGGAGGCTCTGAATTGGCCATCAAATGTCAAAGCAGTGCCCACAATACTTTACGCTTCTCTTCTCTGCTGGCAGGATGATACACAAAAGTCCTGGTTACAATTGTTGAACCCCTGCAGGTTTTTGATGGCTGGATACTCAAAGGAGAGAAGTTTCCTAGCTCCTTGGACCATCCCCTCCCCACTTCCCAAAGGTACACAGACTTCTGTGAGAGTGGTGCTGTCCAGAGGAGCATCAGGTCATCACAGAATGTGGCAATGATCTTCTTCAGGATTCACCACCCAGGCAATGGATTTACGATCACAGTCAAGAAGAGTGCCAACCTCTTCCGTAAGTCTGATTTTGTGTTACCAAGTGGCTTGCAGTTTTGGTAGGAAGCAGAACAATAGTGTCTGTTGGTACTGAATTCTCTGATATTGTCTGCACTGACACAGTTCTGGTGAGTTTTTCCTGAGTGTCTGATTGTTTCAGTGTACATCTGTGCAGGAGAGAGAAAAATAACAAAGTACGGAAGAGCACTTGAGCATTGCTTCTGTTTTAGAATAAGAAGGATCTTTCAAAGCAGATGTCTCATATTGAACACTGTTACATCTTATGATGTCTGGTTTGAGCAAGTAGTATTAAACCAGAGATTTTAATCTTAGCAACTTCTGAATATGAGTGAACAACAAGGAAAAAGTATTTGAAAAAATTCAACAGTACATTTAGTATACAGAATGGTGATGTGAGAAGTGTTGTGTGACTCCAAGAGTCTAGTTGTAAGTTATTTCCCTATGTCTACGAGCTGCCAGGGCACAAATAATGGTCACTTGCATCATTTTTCCAAAAGTGGTAGTGATGCAAACAACAAGTCTGAGCTGTTAAACTTTAAGACAAAATCGGTCTGTGCTGTTCTGGTTCCACAGAAGAGTTTGGGTTGGAAGGAACCCTCAAAGGCCGTCTAATCCAACTGCCCTGCAGTATACAGGGACAACTACAGGTAGATCAAGCTGCTCAGAGACCCACCCAGCCTGACTGTGTATCTCCAGGGACAGGGTGTTTCAATGGGATATGTCACAGGGTAAGGAAACACCGCTATGAGGAGCAAGATAGGACCTGTGGTTTGCTGGCAGTATCAGGTGATAACAAGTGAAAACAAATGAAAGCCTTGCATACATGTTTACCGTTCTTCAAAGTGGCAAAAAGTAGCTGATGTGTGCATCTGGGGCGCGTGCTCTCCCATGGACAGCTCATCCCAAAACTCTGCCAGACCTGATACTATGCCGTAACCAGTGGATGGAGAATTTCTAAGGAACAGACGCTCTTCAAGAAAACCTAAAAATACCACGTGTGTTTTTCAGCATCTGTCTTCAACTCTCAGCTGTTAAACTGTGTTTTTTGTAATTTCTAGAAGTACATGATTTTACTACATGTGGTCAGTAATGACAATACAACTAACTCATGTACTTTCTCCTGTGCTCCAGCTTGCAATGTCATCTCTCAGACCCCCTCAGGAAGGTTTACCATGGTCATTCCTCATCAACACAGAAACTGCAGTTTTTCTATAATTTACCCAGTGGTGATAAAAATCTCCGATCTCATCCTGGGACACTTAAACGGCCTCTTTTTAAAGGTGAGTTTTTTGTTAGCTGACGAATAACTGCTACGTGCAGTTTTCTTGGTGGGCTGAAATAGGGGTGGCCACAGCGCTGGCTGTTGACAGTGTGTGTGCTCCAGAGCAGTGTGTGCTCAGCCTGAGAGCTGGGCCCCCAGAGACCAAAGCTGGGTCTGTCTGTTGCCTCTGTAATGTTGCAGAGACAAAACAACAGTGCAAAGTGCCATTAAGACATGTAAATATTTTGTACTTTAAAAAGGGTAAGAATTACATTAGAAATAAAGGAGTGCTCTGCCAGAGTTGTCTGCCTGCATTTAAACTTATCTAAGAAGTACATAAGTTGCTCCAAAAGTTATGTCTCCCATGTATTTCTATGGAAACTACAACAGATACAAAACACACTCTACAAAACGTAACTCTATTCAGTAGAGAAAATTCTCAGCTACAGAATACCCAACATAGTCACCAGTGTTGGCCAGTTCATGGGGATGAGTTGAGATTCTCTTAATTTCATGATGTGACAGTGTGTATAGACATTTGTATGTGTTTAACTTTCATGCCACTGTTGCCACTGCTGCAACACACTGCCTTGCTGTTCAGGCTCCATAAACATTCAGCAAGCATCAGTGAATGTCAGTGGGTGCTATTTTTCTGTGTGGAGGAACTCAGTGCCCCACCTTTACTTCATGTTCATTTCCATGGGAGACACCATTTTGCCTTTCTGTTGCCACCTGTCGTACAGCAACAAAACATAATGGAATATTGGTGGGAAGGTTCAGCCTCCACTGCCGTTCCACCAACAGCTGCCTCTGTCATTGTGGGACAGCATCGTAAGGTAGGAGACATTACTTTTGGAACAGTTCTCATAGCAAGCACTCTGAACAGAGAGGAGACATGGATTATGCAGCAAAATATTATCAGTGGAAATCCAGCTACATTTGGCTGATCCTCTGCTCATTGTGCTGAGCATCCCCTGGTCCATGTGCTCTGGCACACATCATTTGGTGCTCTGTGATGACCAGGAAGAGAGGACAAGAGATGCTGGTGTCATCCTGTGCTTGGAAGGTCTAAAAAGGTGCAGGTAGCAACATGTCCATGCAACAGAGGGAAAACAGCAAGGATGTTTGTCTTCTGCTGCCAGTGAGACCGTAGCCTCAGTCCTCCCTGAGGCTTGCCAACATCTAAGCAGCAGTCAGGGCCCATGACCATCGTGGCATTGTGGCAAGGTGCTAGCAGGAGACAGGGCATGAAAAGGTACGCATAGAGGAAGCAGGTTGGTGAATGGGCAGACAAGAACCAGTGGCAGTGTCTCTGTCAGTGGAAAATATGAGCTCATTCGTTTTTGATTTTGAGGGGTTTGCCTCAAAGAAAAGTTTTAAAGAGTTTAGAGTAAAATGAAGACACAGCTATTTGGTTTTGTACCCCAGCATGTGTGTATGCTACCCCAGCATGAAGGACAGCATGAATGACAGTGCTAAGAGTATTTTTATTAAGGTAAGGAATACATGATAAATGTTAGCCACACATACTGATTGGCAGTATGTGCCAATCATTAGCAAGATTAGCAAGAGCTGATCTGCTGATGCTGCAGAAAAAGAAAACAAAAAATGAAGAAACAATTTATTAACAGTATCCAGGCTTCAAAACTAGGGTAGAAAGAGTAACTTGCACCTAAGCTGATAGAGGAAGAGGAGAAGTTAGGAGCATCTCAAAAGTCTGATAGCAAGGCCTAAGACTCAGGAAGAAAAAATCACAACCCTGGTGGAGGCTGGAGAGCTCTGGAACGGCACTGGGCAGAAGCAAGGAGCTTTTAAGTGATGTTTAAATCTCACTTGTACAGTGAAGGAGAATAAGAAGTGTTAAGAAGTGATCAATGAAATGGCAGAGTAGATAGGAAGAGATCAGGAACAAGGCTCAGCAGTTCTGTGCCTTGACCAGCTTGCAGTGCTGGAGACAGGCTGCTGACCAGACAGTGGGAATTTGGTTTGCAGCGTGGTGCCTGTGAACAAAACCAGCCACAACTTGTTGGCTTCAGCTGCCCTTTGTCATCTCTTTGCCTTACATGCTGCTTTCACAAGGATGCTTAAGATAGAGAGGAGATAATTCACTTCATGCCAGCTGGGTGTGGGCACATGTGCAGCACTGACTCTGTTCATCTGGTTAAGGTTTGAGCACCCAGGATTAGGTTGCTTACCTGTGCTGGGAGCAATTGGATCAACATCTTAACTACATGCCAGTGATTTTTCAAAGCCTGCTTAGGTCTTTATTTGGAGTTTTTTCAAGAAATTAATTTATAAACGTCAAATTGAAATCCTATTGCTTGAACAGCCTAATTTTTAACAGGCTTGAGCATAAAGTACTTCTGAATCCTGGTGTTGACTGCAGTCCTGTCTACAGAATTGTTGTTTTCATCAAAACATGGCAAGTAATTTTTATTTTCTGTCTTCTTAGAATCCATCAGTGGGCTGTGCAGGAGTGGGGGACTTTGTGGAGCTGTTAGGAGGTACTGGCTTAGACCCATCCAAGATGTTTCCACTGGCTGACCTCTGTCATTCCTTTCATGGGTCTGGTGAGAGCTCCTCCTTCCTCATCCCCCTCTACAAATGAACATGTAACCGGAGGGGCCATGCACAGCTCTCCTAAGACAGGTTTCCTTCAGACAGGTGAACCTGACACGTAGCAAAACATGAGAGCCAGCATCCAGGGGCATAATGCAGCACACCCATAAACAGCTCTATTTGCCCCTGCAGGAATTATGATAATAAGATTAAGCTACGCATATTTTTAAAATACTTATGACGAATATGATTATTAATGTCAACAGACAAGCCTGGAAATTCGTAATAAATGCAGGCAGAGTTGTTACAATTCAGCTATGGCATTTAAACTGCTTTCCTGGCAGTGTAAAGGAAGGGGAATCACACTTCAACAGTCTGGGTGCTTCCAGCGTTGTGATGTAGTTAGTTTTGGAAATCTCCAGAGCAGGATGTCTTTACCCCTTACCTTCGACTTCTAGTATCCAACTGCAGCAAGTGCAAGCACACACCATCCTCTGTGTCCTATAAATGCATGACTGTAGGTGGGTGGGAGGGTGAGCAGCATCTGCCAGAGTAAAGGCTGCAGCACCTGATGAAATACCAAGACTGTTACAAAGGAAGACTAACAAATGTAAAATAAGGTATTTAGTCAGCAATACCAATGCTAGCCAGTCGTTGCTATGCTAAAATATTATTTGTTTCTTTGTTTCTATTATTAGCTTATAATTCTCAGTGCAACAGACCATTTTTCTCTCTCTCTCATATAATTTTATCATAATGTCTTCTCTCTGTTTTTTCCCTAATTAGCCCAAATGAAGGTTGGTTGTGACAATACTGTGCTAAGGATGGTCTCCAGTGGCAAACACATCAATCGTGTGACATTTGAGTATTATCAACTTGATCTGCAGGAAATAGAAAACAGGAAGGAGAATAGCATTGAAGAATTCTGCTTCCCTGGTATCTGAAAAAGCAGACAACACATTTTCATGTTGCTAATCATAATAATGTTCTGGCAAATAAAAAAAAATGTAATTTTTCCTTTAACCAGCTGTTGGTTTCAAGCCTTTCTACGGTGCAAGCATTTTATTTTATTTTCTTCTTCATATAAATCAATCGTTCATATGAGCAAGGAGGAAAAAGCATATTTTTCTTCATTACTACAATTATTTTCTGCAGTATTTAAAATCACATACTACACCCCAAATCAATAACAAGAACAGAAGGCTAAGTTTCCAGCACATGTATTATTAGGGCAACAGACACAATATGTGTATCCAGTCAGAGCACATAAAAAAAACAACAGTATGTGTAAACTTACTGCAGAAGCTTTATCCTTTTATATCAAGAATGAACAAAAATATAAGGTGGTTGAATACATTTCCAGTTCTGTAGCAGGAAATCCAACATTAATGTGTGTAAAAATGACTTGTTTGTTTATGAATATAAATGTACTATTTAATGACTTGTTTTTAATAAAAATTTATGGCATGGGTATTTCCTTACGTGAATCCAAACATGAATAAATAAATTCAAAGAGTTGGCAAAACATTATCAGGTTGTATTTTTCTGAAAAGCTCTTTTAACACTCTGGTTAAACTTCTTAGGTCTTATACAGTTTTCTGGAAATGATGATTGTGAGCATACGTAGCTGTAAAACTGTGCAGTATTAAAGTGACATTATGGGCAGAGCTTTGGTTTGCCGATTTCCATACCCATTCAGGTGCAGTAGGTGCCAGCTGTTCACTTTTATGATGTTTTTAGTCAAGTGTCCAGTAGACCCATGGAGGCAAGTTATTTTTCCAGACTTTTGCTGATCTCTAAGAGGAGTATAGGCCTGGTGAGCTCTAGGAAGCACAGCGGAGGACCAGGGCTTTGAGCTTGGAAGCATTAAGATGGATTTGCATGCTTTTTGGAGGTGCTACCTTGCAAACACTGGGGTCAACAATTCCTTCTTTGATGTTCAATCATAACAAACACTGATTGATCCAGTTGCGTGCCTGAAACCTTCAGAGCTGATCTGTGGTTCTTTATCTTACGTTTGGTCACCAAAAATCAAGTGTCTTGAGTATTCAGCAGCTGTGTAGTTATTTCCTTTGCTCCAGCAGAAGTGGGTGAAAACCTCAGGATGCCTTAGGCTTTCCCTTGGTAGAGTTTTGTGAACTCAGCTCTGGATATTAGCTAACTTAATAAAAGAGGTTATTAACCATCTTACTAACAGATGGATGGCAGCATGGTCAGACTTGGGTGAGTGTGTCAACACTGCTCGACTGTGCTAATGGAAGAGATTATGTGGCTATTTTAGGTTTTTATCCCAAAATCAGACAAAACCTTTTGAAATTTCCAGCAGCTTAAAGAGAAAAGCACTCCTCAGGGAGGGCCCAGGACCTGCAGCGCTGAAGCCATACTGCTGCTGGCTACTCCAAGGAACGGAGACCCTCGCTTGTGCCCTGGGACAAGGGCTCTGGGCCACCATGTCACTGCTCCATCCCCATCTGACCCTCCACAGGTCTCCTGGGCCCCCACTGTGGTGCTAACTGAAAGGAAGGAGAGCAGGGGCTTTAAAGTATTGCTCCTTGGTTTCTGAAGAATACTCAGTAAGGAGGAGATGAGAACACAATGACAGACTTCAGGTCAGTCAGTTCAGGACTAGATCACTGATGGAATAAACTCACCACCTCTTGCTTAATTTTGCTGAATTGTGGAATTTTCCATCTTTCAGTTTTGTTTGATTTTTTTCCCCAATATTAACACAACTTAATTACCTCCAAAACAGAAAATCTTGATAGTAAAGACACTTAATGCTTAGAGATTGAAGATTTTTCTTTCTGAGGTGTAGAGCAGTTGTTTCTATTACTAAGAAAACTTACCATTATAGATAGAGGAGAATGAAAACCAAAACTCTGTGGTTGACAACATAATCTATTGCTTTTACTGTGTATGTACTATTCAAGTATGTGGTGGTGCTGGAACAAGCAGTAACTTTACCTGTTCTTTTCAATCCATATAAGTCTGAACACCATCTATCATATCACTCCACTATGTTGTATGTCTTGAATAAAAGATAGACCCCACCCAGCTAGTAGACCTTTGGTCTGTGTTCTAAGCTCTATTTCATGTACAAAATCAATACTTACTTCAACCCATGCCCTTGTATTTATGGAAGCCTCTGTCACTTCAGCAACTGCAGAACTTCAGTCTTCAGAAATCAACTTACAGATGTCAACTGTCACAAATCCTCCCAGGCTTAGTTCTAGAGAAGTGGGAATGCATGGATTCTCTTCAATGAAAAAAAAAAAAAAAAAAGATACTTGAAATTTACAGGATTAAAAAAAAAACACACAGAAAAGACAGTGTAAGATACATATGAGTAACATGAATATATGTTGAAAAGATAAAAAAGAAAACATTGGTTAACAAGCTGTGCGCTTACAAGAGCTGGAATACCTCCTAACAATAAAATAAAATAAAATAAAATAAAATAAAATAAAATAAAATAAAATAAAATAAAATAAAATAAAAAAAAATAAAAAAAAATGAAATAAAATAAATCAAGCTCCTAACAATACAAATTGAACAAAAGTCTTTGAAGGGGTGTTGTATGTAAATATTGGCTTTGAGAAGTATTTCTATCTCCAGGAATTAAGTATTCTGACATCTTACATTGTAGGCAAAATAATCAAAACTTGCAATTAACATCAAAACACACAAAATTGTTGGGAGATGTGATTTACTAGTTTAGAGCAGACACTGATGTCCAAGACTGAAACACTTTTCACCATGTTTTCAATTTGACATCACTAGTGGTGTCCCCCTAGAAGTGGTAGCTTAATAATGCACTACATAGGAGTGCCTTTACAGGTTTGCATGGAAAACTACTGAACTTGAGCTGACGGGTTGACAATGACTGAAAAATTCTTCAGCACCACAGGACCTGCAGAGAAACCTAACCTTTGTTATTTACGTTGTTATTGTTATTATTTGTTATTGATGGGGAAAGGGAAAAAATCAATAATTACTACTGGAATCTCAACCATAAAAAACAGCAACATAAAGGAAATGATTCAACTCTCACATTTCTGTAGCAACATGAAATCCATGGTGGCTACTCAGAAAGAATTGCCCAGACAGTGGCTAAATTTCCCATCTTAAATAAGATTTAATGATTAAAAGTCTTGTATTTAAAGACCACACGATATATCTTTCACTTCAATGAAATAGATTAATAACAATTGCAGAGGTGTAAAGAACTGTGGTAATCCTTTGCTGTTAAAATTACCCAGAAGAGAAGATGGAAATGTCCTGGAGATAGTGGTAAGGCAACTAGAGCACCTGCCCTTACAGCAGTGCTGCCTTGCCTTTGTAAGGATCAGTCAGCCAAAACAACTTTTGTTGCAAGGCTTCTGGCAATAGAAGGGAAATGTTTTCATGGGACCTGCCAGCAGCAGATAACAGCTTGATATAGACTTATTCAAGTATTTTTTGGTCTATAACAGAAAGAAAACTCTTCAGGAACAAAGGTGATTCTTCACAGGTGAAGGGTAGGTATATTTTAAAAATTTATTTAGAATTACTTCTTTTGGAGGTAAAAGCACCACAGAATGTTTATAATTTAAGAAGACTGAAGATCATGAGACTTTTCAGTGATTTCCTGCCTTGTGAGGTGACCTCGTTTTTTTTGCCAACGAAACAGTGAAAAAACTTAGAAATTCTTCTGCAGTAATGTGCAACGCCCTGTAATGATGTATAATAGCTCTTGTGAGCTAGAATTGTTCTGCTAAACTAATGTTGATTTTATCTTTTATAATTGACAGTAAAAATAAGTGCTCAGAAAAAGAAAAGTGCCATCTTTCTGAATGGCACTTTTTTTTTTTTCTTTAATGACTTTTAAAATGTCTTCTAGCACTGGGTTCTATGAGCCTGTGTACTGTGCTCAGCAGAGAGCTGATCCCATGAAGATCTGTAATAAGAAGGAGGTAGAACAGCAAACGAAGTAGATTTGCGGAACACATGAGATGCTTGATCATATAACCACCTTCCTGCTGAATATATAATCCTGAAAATTTTAAATGCATCTCTATGGCCACCACTCTGCACTGGCTTCATATGCCAAGCAGATTATATGCTACTTACAGGGTTCATATGATTTTGTGCATATAGGGTGTAGAAGGCTCTGGACTCCAATGTTATGCACAGGAATGTATGTGGTAGCAGTTATGCAACAGCAACCAAATTCATTTTTAAGAGCTTAAAGAAATTTCACTTTTTTTCCATGAAATGCATACTTCTTAGGACCTCAAAGCTTTACTTGCTCAGTTCTAAACACAAGCTAAATTATACTTCAAGGAAGTGATTCATTACAGTCATTTTTATTCAGTGCCTCATTACTTTGGGTATCTGAGTAACTTTCTTGTTGATAAATTGACAGAGTTTTCAATTTCTTTCCTCACACTGCTTCTTATCTTTAAAAATCAGCAACAACTAATCATAGCAACTATGGATTCTGTATGCACATCACTTCCTATTAAAGGAAATGCTGTATATTACACGTGAGTCACTACAAAATGAAATTTTCATTATCTGTTCTTTTGAATAAAATTGATATTCATGGTACCGTGCTGCTGAGAATTACCATCAAACCATCAATTAATGTGTTGACTAATAGTTTTTTTTATAACTTTTCCCCTCAACATGAAAGCAAGCAGTTTTATAACCAGAATTAGCCTTTCCTCTATACTTAGCATCCCATAGGAGGACTCACACAGCACTCTGAAAGATCCAAGCATATCTTTAATATCAAGTGCTCAGTGCCCATTTCATGGAGAACACATTGTCCACAGATGTCCCACCATGGACAGTCCAACCCTGGTGCAGGTATTGGAGGTTCTCCAGAGCCAGCATGGTGTTCTGCAGTATCACCTGGACCTGGGACATCAGAGCTGGAGGAGTAAGTGCTTCTGACCTTCAA